TTAAAAGAAAGACAAAAAAAAAAAGGAAATAATACCCTGGCATAGCGGAGATCTAAATAACTTCAAATGTGTTTTATTTGTATTAGTTCAACAGAATACTCTTAGGACACTAATTCGAATACTTCAGACAATATTAAAAATACATTTATAAAAATTTGAAACATTTCGAATCATGCAACAAGAAAACACATTTGTTACACACTACTGATATGTCTATTTATGCGGAGGATTTGACAAAAGGCCACCAAAAGATTTGTTGTTCATTGTTTAAGTCTTAAGTTTCCGTGCGCGCGAGAGTTGAATTAGCATAAAGGTGTCGCTACTCGAGCACACGCAAATGCTCAATAGCACGTGCGCGTGCGTGTTCCAGCTTCATTCGATATTCATGCAGCTTTGTTGAAAGGTCAGTGCCAGTTTAGAGCTATCGTAAACTTTGGTGCATTTCACACGATAGATAAAACCGATTTTTTTATTGTAACCTGAGAGATGAGATGGACCATTGATTGTAATGAAGTAAAAAAAGCAAAGGAATGGCACCCCCAACATTCTACTTCATGTATGTCAGCTTTTGTAGATTGACAGAAAGCTCACATTTACATTTTTGTAGCCATCAATGTTTATTGCATTGAGGAACCTTTTTTTCTGAGTTTGAAATGTCCTACTCTATTTGAATGATCCAAGACTCTCGTGTGTTTTATTTGTATTAGTTCAACAGAATACTCTTAGGACACTAATTCGAATACTTCAGACAATATTAAAAATACATTTATAAAAATTTGAAACATTTCGAATCATGCAACAAGAAAACACATTTGTTACACACTACTGATATGTCTATTTATGCGGAGGATTTGACAAAAGGCCACCAAAAGATTTGTTGTTCATTGTTTAAGTCTTAAGTTTCCGTGCGCGCGAGAGTTTTTTGCCGCCACACACAGAAAAGTTGGCTGCATTTGCGAGCATATTCAACAGTCTCAAGATGTATTGTACAATGCAAGCGTTTATTTGACAACCCTCCCTGTATGGTTTTGTGAAAATGTTTTATTGCACTGTTATGGCTGAGTTACTCATTTTTTTAGTTTGAAAACTGAGCCCGCCGCTAGAAAAACTGGAAATAATGTTGCTGAAAAAAACAGATAAAACCGATTTTTTTATTGTAACCTGAGAGATGAGATGGACCATTGATTGTAATGAAGTAAAAAAAGCAAAGGAATGGCACCCCCAACATTCTACTTCATGTATGTCAGCTTTTGTAGATTGACAGAAAGCTCACATTTACATTTTTGTAGCTATCAATGTTTATTGCATTGAGGAACCTTTTTTTTCTGAGTTTGAAATGTCCTACTGTATTTGAATGATCCAAGACTCTCTAATAGGTGAGTTTTCAGTGAATAATGAAGGATAAATTCACCCCCACCCAAAAAAAAGCTGTCAATACAAAAAATGCATGATGGGAAATATGCAGGGACTCACTACTGTCTTCTCTGTTTGAGGATAAACCAGGAATGGACGGCCAAGAGAACGGCAACTCCCGAGATGAATAGGCGAATAAAGACCGCAGATGACTCTTGAGCATCATGCCTACGCTCGCCTTTCAATCTCTCCATTGTAGCTCTTTCATTCTTATGAGCATTGCGCTGCACCCACAGCGCGCTGGCAACCTTGAGGTGCCTACACAAGGCTGCGGCGCATTCACTCCGATCCCGGCGCGGAAAACACGCAGCACGTTGTGTACTTTGGACAAAAGCGCGGAAGCAAAACGGCACAAACAGCGCACAACACCCTCGAGGGCAGATGCGGTTCTACTCATTCAATATCATTAGCTTGAATAATTAGATTGTGCCATTGTGGCATCGCTGCCCTGAGCACATCAGATGCAAAGGAGTGTGATGGGTATTCAGCAAGGCTGCGGAGGATGACTAATGTACATCCTATAGACAACAGCCAATTAAACAACATTTTGTTCCAATTAAAATGCATGGCATGCTGTAAAAAAACATTAAGAGGAATACTCTACATGAGACAAAATAAAAGAAAGAGTTGCCGTAGATTTGCGAGCATATTCAACAGTCTCAAGATGTATTGTACAATGCAAGCGTTTATTTGACAACCCTCCCTGTATGGTTTTGTGAAAATGTTTTATTGTACTGTTATGGCTGAGTTACTCATTTTTTTAGTTTGAAAACTGAGCGGCGGTAGAAAAACTGGAAATAATGTTGCTGAATAAAATTGAAAAAGGAAGACCACAAAAAAGGTTGGCATACGAAAAGTGAGATTCTGCTATCGTTCCTTGGCATATTACGCCAAAGCAATATTTTTATATTTGGCATGGCTTTGGCCTGAACACATAAACAGCAAATAGGTGAGTTTTCAGTGAATAATGAAGGATAAATTCACCCCCACCCAAAAAAAAGCTGTCAATACAAAAAATGCATGATGGGAAATATGCAGGGACCCACTACTGTCTTCTCTGTTTGAGGATAAACCAGGAATGGACGGCCAAGAGAACGGCAACTCCCGAGATGAATTGGCGAATAAAGACCGCAGATGACTCTTGAGCATGATGCCTACGCTCGCCTTTCAATCTCTCCATTCTAGCTCTTTCATTCTTATGAGCATTGCGCTGCACCCACAGCGCGCTGGCAACCTTGAGGTGCCTACACAAGGCTGCGGCGCATTCACTCCGATCCCGGCGCGGAAAACACGCAGCACGTTGTGTACTTTGGACAAAAGCGCGGAAGCAAAACGGCACAAACAGCGCACAACACCCTCGAGGGCAGATGCGGTTCTACTCATTCAATATCATTAGCTTGAATAATTAGATTGTGCCATTGTGGCATCGCTGCCCTGAGCACATCAGATGCAAAGGAGTGTGATGGGTATTCAGCAAGGCTGCGGAGGATGACTAATGTACATCCTATAGACAACAGCCAATTAAACAACATTTTGTTCCAATTAAAATGCATGGCATGCTGTAAAAAAACATTAAGAGGAATACTCTACATGAGACAAACAACCCCCCCCCCCCCCCAAAATAAATAAATATGTCATGAAAATGATGGACTGCTTACTGAAATAATGATGATCATCTAATTGTACTAGTGTGAAATCAGGGACTCACACTACTCACAGGAAACCAAGACTTATGTTATATGATTCAACGAGTGGAAGAACATTTCTCGGGTTGGATGAAAATCCAAGATCAATTTGTATCGTGATAGACGCAATCAATATCAATAGAAAAGTTTTTCAAAAAATGTTATTAAATAAAAAAAATCAGGAAGCAAACCCCAACCCCTTCTATAATTACAAGTAAGAGGAATTTTGGAGCACGGAAGCGTGTTTTGTGAAACCAACAAAGAAAACGTGCCGAAAGCCACAGATTTTCCAGTATATAGAGCAACCTCATTAGGTACATTTATAGAGAATAATCTCGTCCAGTTTTTCCTAACTTCAGCAAAGGCACGCATTTTACTCAGATTTCACAACACCCCAACAAAAAAAATTTCATGAAAATGATGTACGAATTACTGAAATAATGATGATCATCTTATTGTACTAGTGTGAAATCAGGGCTTATTTCGTAAAACGCACAGCTAATTTACTCACAGGAAACCAAGACTTGCATTGTATGATTCAACTAGTGGAAGAACATATCTTGGGTTGGATGAAAATTCAAGATCAATTTGTATCGTGATAGACGCAATCAATATCAATCGAAAAGTTTTTCAAAAAATGTTTGCGACAGAAAAAAATAAAAAAAATCAGGAGGCAAACCCTAACTTCTATAACTACAAGTAAGAGGAATTTTGGAGCACGGAAGCGTGTTTTGTGAAAGCTACAAAGAAAACGTGCCGAAATAGCAAACAAGTGCTTCCGCGCAGGCACGAGGAGCATGTGGCATATGTACACTGAATCAAAGTGTGACTTAACTTTGTTCAAAGAGATGACCGACCCGTTGCCTCAGTGCAACTCTGGCATTAAGATTATATTGTACATACTAACACGATCTAACAGCTTTGGAAGGATACCATGTGTAGAAGTAAAGAAGGCGCTAGCTAAGGCGTTAATGTGTAGCCAGCTTGCAATATGGCGATCCAAATCACTTGCTCGTCGTCCTCCAGTTAATGAGAGACAATTTTCTTCTGTGGGCCGTGGCACGTTCGGTAAGACATGCCTTCGTTATTCCAAACAGTCCTATTCATTTGTTTCTACTCCTCAGAAAGCACCGCAATCATCTCGCAGATTCTTTCCGCTCTTTTTGCCATGATTTTTCTTAAAAAGGGATGCTGCTAATCTTTTTGGGGGCTTTTCTCAATGCAAATTAGGCTAGACTTGCGCAAGCGGGACACTTAAGAACCGGTGGGATTTATCAACATGCATTATACGTTTCATTTTGGTAGTCAGGCTCACTCAAATTAAGTCGTACTCAAATTAATTTGGAACCTGTATTTTTAATCCTTTGATCAAATGAGGCCCCATGCAAGTATTAGCTTGCTACTCACGTTGTATGAACCGTGATCGAAGGTTAATGTAACTGCGTCAATGATCCTGCATTGGAGTCGCGCCTTCCCCAAATAAGTATTGATGGTGCACTGCTGGTGGAGCGCGGATGTAAACAACATTGCAGTAGGGTTAGGTTACAATGTATTTAAAAACAAAACAAAAAAGCAGTGCACATTTCTTGAGTTTTACTCGCTGATGTTTTGAATGATATTTTTTCCCTCTTGATCTGTTAATGTAAACAACATTGCAGTAGGGTTAGGTTACAATGCATTTCTTAAGTTTTACTCGCTGATGTTTTGAATGATAAATGCAAATTAGGCTAGACTTGCGCAAGCGGGACACCTAAGAACCGGTGGGATTTATCAACACGCATCACACGTTTCATTTTGGTACTGAGATTGTCGTCAACGGCAGTTTTGATGGACATGATGACAAACGATGAAAGACAATTCGGGACTTCCAACAAAAGGAATGTTTTCTCGAACGCGCCCTACCTATACTTCATGCCGGTCCTCATGCTTTGTTCGCTGGAAGACGGCACACTCTGAACAGAGAGCTGACCAAGACTTCGAGCCACCATGGCCACAGCTCGGAATTTGCTTCGTGTCCCCGTACCGGGGCTGTTGGCGTTTTGCCGGTTGAGACGGTCCTCTGTGGTGCGGCTCACTCCGCCGCGGTGGTCCGTGCAAACCAGAGAGACTTGCATGCTGAAATCGGCACTACCCAATAACAAATATGTAACCAATATACCCAATGTTTTTTTTTTGCTTTGTTTTTTAAATCAGGTGGATGAACTAGGATTGAGCTGCGACTGTGCGGCTCATTTGCTCCATGAGGGTGTTTGGTTGTAAAAGGTGGCCTCGTCCCTGGGGCAAGTGTCACACGCCTTGCTTGTGTTAGAAATCACTTCCCGCTTGATAAATGGACTGACAAGCTCACAATATTCCCCAGGCACAAGAATGGGAGTGCGGATAAAAAGTATCCAAAGTATGAATAAAGTAAAAACGGAATGATTTTCTTGGATTCCTCTGTACGTCGCTTTCCGGCATTTGAATCAGATGCTCATGAGAGGCTGATGGGCAGATTTAGAGTGCGGCTGTTTCCTTTCGAGGCTTCGCTCCAAGCTGGAGTTTTACACCTCCACGCTGCCTGCTGTTTAAAAAAGGATGGCGATGTAAAAAAAAAATCCAAACGATGACACTGAGGCAACACAAGAAGATCCTCACATCTGCCGAGTCCACCTTGACAGTCGGGCCGGCTGCTGGAAATCCATTCTCCCGCTCGACCTCATTGTCACCTCTCTCACCGTCGCCTTGACTCAACTTACATCTGCCTGCCTTGTGCTGACCGTAAAGCGGCACGGTGCACATAGGCAAGAGATGGGAGAGGAAAGAGAGAGAGAGGGGGAGGGAGGGAAACTGGTGGGAGGGATATGAAGAGCTCGACGCGGAGAAACAGTCAAGGCAGCGTGAGAATGCGAGGCATTGAAATCTGTTGTGTTGACAAGAACTCCTCGAAGAAAAGGCGCAGCATTATTTTCACGGACACTTTTTGTGCCAGAGCGTTGCCCTGCAGTGAACTTGAACGCAAACCGTGTCCCATCCAAAGAAAAGGCTCACCCTGGTCAGACCCATCAGTTCCCTCACGAGGGACTGTTCAGCTGCCCATAAAATATTCATTATGTAACTTTATCTGTAACAATATATGCCAAAAGCGGCGGGGGGAGGGGGGGGGTTGACAGACAGAAATGAGTGGCTGTTCGACCGCCGTTGGTGCGTGACAAGATAGTATCAAATTGGATAAACTATGCTCAGAAATACAACTAAATAAGGAAAAAAAAACACACGAAGACTTTCATAGACTGAATGATTCCGATGGAATCCTACGGGACCAAACTCTGTTCTGAAATTGGCTTAAAATGGTCCAAAGTGAAATCAGAATGCAAAGATAAAGAGAACGCAGCTATGCATTATCTGATCGCTTTTCCAATTCCATATTTGTCATATTTCCTTGGCTTCAAGTGCAAATATTACATTTACTTAAAGACTCTGTGGTAACAAGCCAGAGAAGAAACAAGTCATTGAGAAGCAGTACATTTTAAAGGCTGAGGGTCATTACGTTTTCATCCTTTTTCTACTTCTTCTTTCAAATTTTCAATATTGAAATGTGGGGTATCCCCCCAAAACTACATTTATGACATGACATTTGCTAGCAACGGAAAGGCATTTTGCGTATCACATTCTAAAACAATAGTGCACGCCATGCATTTTCGAGACAAGTAAAAATAAATAAATTCATCAATTAATTCATTACACCAACTGGCAGCTTGACGTCAGTTAAGGCACCCAAAACGACTCTTTTGCTCATCGAGTAGTCACTGATAGCTGCGACTAATCGGCATATATGTAAATCGTAGCACATACGTAAACATGATTAGGTTACAGCTTGAATTCTTTCAGGTATGTGCAAAATTAAAAATGAAGTCAATTAAGATGATAGTATATTCTTTTTTTTTTTTTTTTTTTTTTTTAATTTACAGCTCGTACCAGCATTTGTGACATGTTTATAAACTTGACGAGTGCATGAGCTGCACGCTCCTAGTCATCTCATACTCAAGCTTATCTGAGTGGAGCAGCTAGTGTGGCAAGCGGATAATTAAACACGATGCCATCAGGAACAGATGTGGCAAGCGAAGCACTTATAGAGTCCACCTATCAATGGAATCTGGCAGACAGACGATTGCAAACTGACAGCTCTATCCTTGGAACTATGACTTTTTTTTTTTTTTTGTGGCGCCCGGCCTCCAAAAGAACCCGGTACGAAGGCTTTAATTTGATTGAAATCAAATTTGGACTCAACATAGTATGCAGAGTGCAGAGAAGCCACACTCCATCGGCATGTTCCATTACACCTACCTTCAAGCAACGTGAGGGGTGCCATACATCATACTGAATGAGGGATTACATCAACAGCCAACATCACATTACGGTGAACAAAAGCATTCACTCCCTAGGCTGTTAAGCATCAGAGCTCGGCACGCAGTCGCCACAATGGCAGTGGAAACGTAATGCCACGTTGTATTCCGCTCAGCTCCAGGGCCCCAGGAGTCGTGGCATGGAGGAGCTTTAATGAGTTGTCGGGGTGGGGGGGGAGGGGGAGATAGGCCACGGACAAGAGCAAAAGGCTGCACAGACACAGTGGTGGCATACAATGTAATCGAAGAAAGATCCACTTAGTATGTCTGTTTTTGGATTGGATTTACTCCCCAGGTGCTGGGGCCCAATTCCGATCAATTGCTGATAGCCGATATTTTTCAGGATATGATCTATATGTACATTTTCAATATCATGTTACATCCGATATGTCTGTGTTTATGATGACGGAATGCAAGGAACAAGTTGCATAGTCAGAATCCCAAATTGCATTTTAACGCTATCAGCGACAGCGGTTACTACAGTGGACATCTTATCGTGTTGTCAGGTTACAGGGTGCATGAAAGTTTTAATACCTACACAAGTGTCACTAGGAGGCAGTGACAACATGGATGTAAACAACAGCACAGTACCGTTGTAATTTGTTTCATGCATTGGGCGCACCGCATTATAAGACACAATCTACAATTCATCCACTAGATAGAGCTACGCTCAAGGAAATGCCAACAGAACGATCAGATGTCAGTAAAACGTATTTCATAAAGCAGCGACACAGTTCGCTTCACCAACAGCAAGTTATAACATTGTCTCGTTAACGTTGAACTCTTTTGCCACTGCTCTATTTCCGTGTTCAACTGCGTAATCGATCGCCTTAAGTTTGAACTCTGTGTTGTAAGCGTGTCTCTATCAAGGAGCCATTTTGGGGTCAAAATATTACCGTAATGACCATACACATGGCGCATCGGATTTTAAGGCGCGCTGTGAGCTTTTAAGAAAATGGAAGGCTTTAGGTGCGCCTTTTAGTGCGGAAAATACGGTAACAGGAGCAGTTTGCACTTAAAAAATAACACACACAAAACACCAAAAAAAAAAAAAAAAAACAACCAAGAAAACCCCCGCGTATTATATTAGCTAAAACGGTTAGTATGACCTGAGACGAGTACATTCATAAAATGATATGACCCTAACTTGTAATTTTAATTAGACTTTTATGAAACCACCACAGTTGATGTATAACAACCAATCAGAGACAAAAGGCGTGACTGACGAGATGTCAAGCTTTTGTTCCTCAGGGTTAGACTTATAATGGGTCACACTGACCTGTGACCTTGGGCTTCAGGCCCTTTACGAAAATAACCACCAACGTCGGCAGTGAAGAGGATTCAGGAGCGACACAGGCCATTACGTTTATAAACACTTTTTGATTTTTAATTGAATGCACATTCTCATAAATAAAACGTTTAACATTTACTGAGATAGTAACACTCAGTTACGAGTAAGTCATTCTGCCGACATACAGTAACAGCTGTGGCTAACGTGTCCGTAAAGCGCACACTTTAGTGGCTTTGTTGTGAGGCTCAAGGGGGAGGGAGGGATTACCGAAACAAAAGTTACATTTAAACATTTGCAAGCAGTTTTAACACTACAAACTCCCCATTAAAAAATTATATTGCGTTTATTTAGCCTGGGCCAATTCTTTCCCCCCATTGGTTTAAAGCAGAGGAACCTTCACGTTATTCCACTTGCCCGCCATTGACAATAACTTTCATTTTTTTTTTTCATGATGACATGCCTCTAATGCGGCGTTTTCAGACCATATTTAATTGTCTGTGCTTGCACTACAGTTGAGATTTACAGTGGATTTAGAATCTGCACGTTTATGCTGCATTCACATCGGCATGATACATTTCAAGAGTTCCATGTATGATGCCGTGACCTACATCCCGAGTGTAACTCAAAAGCAAAAAAAAAAACTAACATAAAAAAATTAACAAAAATAATTTGGCAACCGTTTCACTTGAATTCTGAAGTGTAAATCCAGCCTTAGATGATTTGTCTTAAATGAAATGCTATTCTAGGTGTTGGTCTTGTTACATACTATGTAGTATAATGAACCCAAGTGATGACTGACTAAATAATTTCTAATCCCCCTCCTTTTTTGAACCTTTATCCATCTGCATCTGGAGAATCTGCACATTTATTGAGCCGCAGCACAATGGGAGATAGACGAATCAATACAAGCATGCATCATGCGAGAGGCAAGTGATCAATCACCTAAATGAATCCATCGAAGAACTAGTTTTCATTTACAAGTAACAAAAACAAAGTTTGTCAGGAATGCAACAAATTATAGCATGAATTATCATCCATCTTTTTTCATAAACCGCTTATCCTTTTCAGGGTTGCAGTGAGCTGGGGCATTGACACAGTCTGAGTGTGGGAAGTGAACCCGTGATGCCTCCACAGAAGTCAGGCATGTGAACTACAACAACGCTAGTGACGCACAAATAATAAAATCATCTCTGACCTCCTTCTCAAATAAAATGTTTCCGCTTTTTTAAATTCCAGGCAGCGATACGCACATATTAATAAAATATATTTTTTACAACACCACTACTGGGAAATTATTTCACCCCGAGTAATAAAGATGCTTTTGCTGCAGGAAACATGGTACGAATTCACGGTTTGACACGAGAATATTCAAAAGATGCGAATCTGATCTTTACATAATCACTTTGAGTACATGTGTTAAGTTGCTTATTAGCCACGCGTGCGTCAGGTGACTCAGAATTCCCACAAGGCCATTGCACAACTCATTTCATATCCGTGCGAGCGAGCAACAACTGAACAGATAATGCCATCAAGCCGAATTGTAATTTTGCTGAGGATTAGGAAATGATACTGATCAAATCCCAGTCTCCTCCGACCTGTATTGTATTTTGTTACTTTATTTTACTGTAAGTGCTTGGTGATTATCTGAAAATCTACTGATGCTAAAATCCCTCGCAAGCACTCATGTGAGCGAATGCAGAGCGCCGATAGGGCCCCCCCGTTTTATTCACAGTGCGGAGGAGGAAGAGAAGGGAAAGGGCTGTATACTGTATGGACACACACACACACACACACGCACGCACGCACGCACGCACGCACGCACGCACGCACGCACGCACGCACGCACGCGCACACACTCTTTGATCACAGCTACAGCTTACAGAGTCTTGTATCTATTGTACCAAATGCACTCTTTCTGGACATTCTAACAAACGAAATAAAACCATAATTCTATCGGTGTCGGTTGTACAAAAAGGCAGCATTTTTAAAACATCTGTTGGAGACTAGCTAGTTCACTTGTTTAAAAGAAATCTCATCTAGTCAGATTTCCTGTTCTATTGGCAGATAAGGCTGCATAA